AGGTGCAAACTTTATGTTGCTCGGCTCTCTGATTGTACTACTTCGAGGTCTGTCGTTGCTGATTAGAGCCTTTCAAGTTCCGTGATCAGTGCCAAACCTCCATAGTTTTGTGCTTTGTAGCTGCGCTGAGTTTTTGTTGCTTCACTGAGGTCTGCTGCTGCTTTTGGGTAGTAACGGCTAGTTGGGTGGGTGGTTGAGTCCCTTTTGTAATTGTTTTTGGGCCTTTTGGTCATTGGGCATTTGCCCCTCCTTTTGTACATTTTTTCCTTTCAAATACTTTTTTTTTTTTTTTTTTTTTTTTTTTAACAGTTCGTGTATCGGCCCCACAACACACGCACCCTTTAAGTTAGGAGTATGGTTCAAAAGTGAGACCTCAAGAATTTACCTCCCAAATCACTGCTAACGTCGTTATGCTTCTGAGAGCTGTTTCCTATTTAATACATTACTTACCAAAGAAAAGGAAAAAAAGTTGACAAAGTTGTTTCATAAAAAAATGTTTAGGAGTTAAGTCACGTGAGAACAAGAGTGGGAGCAAATTCAAAAAGTTGAAAGTGGCAATATCTAAGTCACACAAAATAAGAACGAAATCGAATATCCACAGTGCGTGTGAGCGAAAGGATGTGCATAAGTATATTATTGGTTTTTCAGTGCTACTTGAACCAAATTTTCTGCTAAAAATAGCAATATCATGAAATATTGAAAAGTTTTGTCATTAAACTAAAAAAAAAGACAGCGAAAGCGTTAACATGAAACTGGCAAAATTTAAATTTAAAGCGAAAGTACGTAACATGATAGTGGCACCTATTTAAAAGAATTGTGCAGAAAGAATGTAATCCAACCTGAACGCTGATGTAAATTAGAAACAAATGAACACGCATTCAATCATAAAACTAGAAAAATAAAAAATAATACTTCGCATCACAAGAGCCATGATGAGCTCAAGGGCCATAGCAGGTCGAGGCGTGCATCCTTCAAGCACCCACCATGTAGAGTTTAAAATAAAATTTGAAGCCCAGCCCAATATGTGGACCAGGCTTAGTGTTGGCGGAGGCAGGCCAAATTAATGGGCCACATTATATAACTACTTATATATCATTTATTGAATTTGAATATATAATTGATTATTTCCTTTATATTAGAGTATATGATATCAATGACTTCTTCTATAATAATTATTTGAATCGAGACAAATAATTATTAACCAATAAAAAATAACACTTAGCATCACAAGAGTCATGATGAGCTCAAGGGCCATTAGCAGGTTGAGGCGTGCATCCTTCAAGCACCCACCATGTAGAGTTTAAAATAAAATTTGAAGCCCAGCCCAATATGTGGACCAGGCTTAGTATTGGGCTCACAGGCGGAGGCAGGCCATAATAATGGGCCACATTATATAACTACTTATATATTATTTATTGAATTTGAATTTATAATTGATTATTTCCTTTATATTACTGGTATATGATATCAATGACTTCTTCTACGTCAAACTTATATAATGGAGTTTTGGCTGTAATTCAAGTGGGGGAATGTTAAAATTTTATGGTTTTATAATACAAAGGAAAAAAAAAAAAAAAAATAGTATATATAAGACTCAAGGTTAACAACTTTAAATTAAACACAACTTGCAAAAATCAAAATACCAAAAAAAATTAAGTATAAGTAGTTAGAAAGTCAAGTACCCTCAATTGCAAGTTCCTTTTCGAGACAACTCTTTATTCTTCTAACTAATCACTCAAGCAGTTACATGGTGTTCGGATTGGGATCCGAATCCGAATCCGATAAGAATTTTAGTCGATTCGATCCGATAATCGGACGGATATTTTGTAAATCAATTTGAATCCGATTTGTTAATAAACAAATATTCAATCCAATAAAAATGTAATTTTTTTTATAAAAATTAAAAAAGAAAAAGAAAAAGAAATATAAATTAATGTCAAAAGAAAATTAAAAAAACAATGATTATAAGAAAAAGATATAAAATAAAAGATAAGTAAAATATGAAAGGAAAAGAAAAAAATTTATTGAATCTTTGTTAATGAATAACGAGTACGATATTATTAGTATGTACATTAAGAGATTTATTAATATGTGAATGAGAATACCACACTATTGTATATATAATATTATGATTTTTTTTTTTTTTTTTTTTTTTTTGTGGATTACCTATAGTATAAATCTGATAGGAGTATTGATATATATATATATGTGTGTGTGTGTAAAATTATTGATAAATAATTATTTATATATATAATTTTATTCGGATCGGATTGGATCAGCATAATTCATATCCGATTTGTTAAGTTAACGGATTATTGGATTTGGATCGTAATCGGGTTATCAATTTTTTTTTGTTCAATCCATATCTGACTAATCGGATCAGGATCCGCTCCATTGACAGGTCTAACGTTGACGTGATTGTCATATGGGCACTGTATCACAATTGTTTTTTATAAATAAACAATTCTAAAAAACTTTGAAAATTAACAACTACACTTGTAGTTGGAGAGACTAAAAACCCAATCCTAATGGTTTAGAGTGCTGTTTGACAGGTTGGTTTGGAGGCTTCCCAACTACCGTAGTTTTTACATCGTAGTGCTTGGCACCTGATCATAAAGCCGGGATTGGTTTTTTGGCAACTCTATCTTCTTATGGTAGAATTGAAACAAAAAAAGTTCTATTTGGGCCAATTCAGTCCAAAATGATACGGTGGGAGGGTTAATGGGGGTCAGCCTCCTCTTTGTCAAGTTTAGGTTCTGACTTTCTCTCTGAATCAGAGTATTAGGAAAGCTATTGTGGCAAAGTAAAAAAATTGCTAAATGATGCGAAAAAAATAAAAATTGATAAATATATTCATGTCGATGTCATGTCATTTCATCTTTATCTAATCTAAATATATTCGTGTAAGTTGTAACATCATTTTTTATAATTTCTTCTTGAGCTGTGATGAATAATAATTTGTGATAATTTATAATTGGTTGTTGTATTGTGTTGTTACATTTTTTTTTTTTTTTTCCCGGAAGGTATTGTGTTGTTACTTGTTGCCTATTAATCATGACCATATGTGACAAAACGTGCGAGAGAGGAAGACCATTAGAGAGAGAATAAAAGAATCTAAGAGCATTTTTATTGCATATATATATATATATATGACCATCATTTGGTTATGTAGAGAGTCAAATATTTTGGTATGGGATCAAGGACAGACTCAGAAAAATTATGTGAAGAGGATGATAAAAAAAAAAAATTAATAATGGAAGGATAGTAATATTTTATGAGTATACAATTGAAAAAATAAAATAATAATAGTACATTACTATTTAAAAAAATGAAAAACAAATCAGAGGAAGAAATTACAGAGAGGTCGCTAGAAGTAGCCACCTCTCTAAGCAAGGGCCCAACAAGCAAGCCACACTTTCCCTCTCTCCTCTCTTTCTCCCCCTAAAACAAATTAAATTATATATAGGAAGAGCCAACCCAGTCAGCACCATACCAGCTGGTGCGGGTTGGGCCGGCCACAAATGTGAAGAGCTCAATAAAGAACACCATAACAGAAATGCCATGAAAACAAGATAATTAATGTATAATTGTTGATGAGAGGAGAGAGAGAGTAATGGGAGTTTAATACTTGAATTATCCTCAATAACTTTCTTTTTCACATGATTCTTCGGTATAACTTTATCACATTTACCTTGAACTTTCACCACTTGCAATGGTTAATTACAACAGCTTGAACTTTCTCATTTTGAAATTCAAATATTTAAATGATGAATTTTAACATCTTATGAGTTTCACCGCCGAGAACTTTACTAATTTTGAAATTAAAAATTTTTAATGGTGAATTTGATTATTTTTATAGGTGCGTAAATATTAGGTGAAATTTCAGCATTATAGAGGTGAAATTCACCGTTGAAAGTGGTAAAATGAAGTAAATATGATTATGTTGCACTGCAAAATCCACTGGGAGAATAGTTGGGACAAAATTTTGATTCATTCAGTCTTTGCCTCTTCAGAAGGGGGAAGTGCTGGAATGCTGCAAGCAGTGTTCATTGGGATTGCCTAATCTAGGTGGCTATTAACCCATGTTTCCAAACAAGACCAATAACCTACCTCATCAATTTAGATAATCATTCTCAAATGGATTCTAGTTTAAAAGCATAAATAGCTGATTTCATGAAGCAAACAAGCTAAATTATGTTTTACATTATACCTTTCTTCCTTATCAATTCATTGTATTCATTTCTTCTTCTTTAATTTCCGAATTCAGCTTTTCTTTCTTTACTGTTTCCATCTTTATCTAGACGAAAGTTGAAGCTGATGCAAATAATAGATTCAGTCATGCTTTTTCTTTTCTATTTCAGTAAGCTATATACCTATAAATTGTGGGGTAGTGTAGGGCCCAAAAGTTGATGCTGCAATTAGGATTCATAGACAATTATGCTGTATTCATTTCTTTATTGTTTCCATCTTTATCTTTAAGATGAAACTTGAAGCTGATGCAAATAATAGATTCACTCATGCTTGTTCGGTAAACTATTTCAGTAAGAAATATATTCAGGATTTGATTAGTGTGAAATTGAAGCATTTGAAATTACAAGTAAGAAAAATATTCATCTTAAGAAGTAAAAAGTATCGGGCATATACTTCCAAACTCAATATTTTAGAAAATAATCTGAATAAATAACATGGTTCATCTGTTTAACTTCTTCAAAGACAAGAATAAGTTTTCTCAGGAAAAAATAAAATGGTCTTAACTTTTTTGTTTTCGTTCTCTCTTAAAATCTTTTATTCTAAAATGTATCCTCAAAGAGAGGTATCCATTCACTGTGAAAAGAAAGTAATCACTTTGATTGACAATAAGAATAGGTTCTTTTGCTTTTTACAGAACACAACATGAAGTGATGAATCAAAGCAAAGCATAATTATATTCCAAGCAAAGCACAATGACTTGTATTTATTGAAATTCATACTGAGATTGGGGAGCCAAGCCATCAAAACCTTCTGTCTTTATTGTTATCTGAGAGAGAGAAAAAAGAGGAGAGAATGGCAGAGAGTGCAGTAAGCTTTCTGATCAACCAGCTGACACCGCTCCTTCTAGAAGAGGCCAAACTTCTGGGAGGAATTAAGGAAGATGTCGAGTGCATCAGAAATGAATTGGAGGAGATGAGAGCTTTCCTGAGGGTTGCTGATGCAAAGGAAGAGCTTGACCCACAACTTCAAGTATGGGTTAAGCAAGTGAGGGAAGTTGCTTATGACACCGAAGATGTCCTTGATGAATTCATCCTTCGCCTTGCTCATCATCACGGGGATGGTTTCTATGGTTTTCTTCGTAAGATTTGTTGTTCTATCAAGAACTTGAAAGCTCGCCATCGAATTGCTTCTGAGATACATAAAATAAAGTCCAGAGTCGAAAATATACATCAAAGATACCGTGATAGATTTAGTATCTCAGAGCATGGATCAAGCTCCACCACTGTCAACAACAACGCATGGTATGATCGTCGAGGTGATGCACTTCTACTGGAAGAGGCTGAGCTTGTTGGCATGGATGGGCCCAAGAAACAGCTGATTGGGTGGCTTCTGGAGGACAGTCCAAGACTCAAAGTCGTTTCGGTGGTGGGGATGGGGGGTATGGGAAAAACCACCCTAGTAAAGAAAGTCTATGATGATATGGAGGCGAAGAATCGTTTCCAATGTCATGCTTGGATCACTGTTTCTCAATCATTTAATCTCAGAGAGCTTCTCAAATACGTAATTCGAAGACTCTTCGATGAAGCCAAGCAAACGGCCCCTCAAAGTTTGGAAACCATGGACAGCAATGACTTGAAAGCACAAATCAAATATTTCCTCCAACAGAGAAGGTACGTGCTTGTTTTAGATGATGTCTGGCAAATAGATGCATGGAATGCTTTTAAATATGCATTGCCTGACAACAATAATGGCAGCCGAATACTGCTCACGACCCGCATTGTTGATGTAGCTTCTACATCTTGTGTAGAATCTCCTGATCATGTCTATACTATGAAACCATTGTCCCCACGAGAGTCTTGCACTCTGTTTCGTAGGAAGACATTCCAAGGCAACCACTGCCCTCAACATTTAGAGAAAATCTCACAAAGTATCTTAGAAAAGTGTGAGGGCTTGCCACTTGCAATTGTGGCAATTAGTGGTGTTTTGGCTACAAAAGACAAAAGTACAACCCATGAATGGGAATTGTTTCACCTTAGCCTTGGCGCTCAGTTAGAAGGCCACGGCAAACTTGAGAGTGTGAAAAAGATACTCTCTCTGAGTTACTATGATTTGCCTTACTATCTAAAAATATGTTTTTTGTACTTGGGCTTATTCCCTGAGGATTACGAGATTGAGCGCATGAGATTGATTCGACTGTGGATCGCAGAAGGATTTGTGGAAGTGATAGGGCGACTGACAATGGAAGAAGTTGCTGAAGACTATCTCAACGAGCTTATTAATAGAAGCTTGGTCCAAGTGGCAAAGATAGATGATACTGGAAGGCTCAAAGAGTGTCGCATCCATGACCTTTTCCGTGAAGTAATTACTTCAAAGTCAAGCGAACAAAACATTGCAGCCATGGTAAGCAAAGAAAGCACAACGTGGCCGGAAAAAGTTCGGCGCCTGTCAATTCAGTACACCTTGGGGAACTTGCAGCAGACAAATCGTTTTCCTCAACTCCGTTCCTTGCTCATGTTCTCGGTGGAAGAACCTATATCCAAGTCGTTGAATCCTATATTATTCAATGGGGGGGTTAGGTTGTTAAGGGTTTTGGACCTGAGGGGTGCTTCTTTGAAGATACTTCCAAATGAAGTTGGCAAACTATTTCATCTCAGGTATTTAGGCTTGAGGAGAACAGAGGTTAAGACGTTTCCGAAATCCATAGGTAAGCTTGAAAACCTTGAAACTTTGGATCTCAAATACAGCAATGTAACTGAGTTGCCTGTTCAGATTCTAAAGCTCCAGCGTCTTCGTCATCTCTTGGTGTACTGCTACGGTTTGATGAAAATATATGGCTTTAAAGCAATAGTGGGAATAGAAGGTTTGTCTTCCTTACAACAACTCTATTTAATTGAAGCGAGCAATGAGAATGGTAGAATTGTAATGGGAGAGCTTGGGAGACTGACCCAGTTGAGGAGATTGGGGATTACGGAGTTGAGAAGGGAGGATGGGAAGGCTTTGTGCTCCTCTCTTGAAAAGCTGAGTAACCTTCAATCATTGGACATAAGTTCTGTAGAACGGATGGAGGGGATTGTTGATATTCAACAATTGTCTTCTCCTCCTGGGTCTCTTCAACGGCTCTATTTGAGGGGACGTTTAGAAAATTTGCCGCATTGGATAACTTCTCTTCATAACCTGGTGAGACTGCAGCTTCGGTTTAGCAAGTTAAGGGATGATCCATAGCAATCCCTTCAAGATTTGCCCAATCTGATAGATATTGGACTTGTTGAAGCTTACCAAGGGGAGGAACTGTGTATCAAAGCGACAGGGTTTCAGAAGCTTAAGAGATTACAGGTTTGGGGTTTAGAAGGATTGAGGTGGGTGAGAATGGAGAAGGGATCATTGCCTCATCTTGAAAAGCTGATTATTTGGAACTGTAGCTTGGTGGAAGAGGTACCCACTGGCATTCAACATCTAACCAACCTTAAATCCCTTGATCTGTCAGATAAATTGAAAATGACACTGGATCCACACAAACAGGGTGGGGATTATTGGAAAATAGCACACATCCCCAATATTCACATTTCTTGAACTTTCCTGGATAGTCGTTGGGAAGGAGATTATGGAGAGGGAGAGAGAGATGAAGAAGAGTCCTTACAAAGTTGAGATGATTAGTACTGATCAGGTCACCTAATATTTGCTTTTATTTTATTTTTATAGGATAACTGATTTGTTTTTTCTTTATTTATTTTTTTTTCCCTTTTTAATATATTATGTCATTTTATTGTTATAGGATAACTGATTCGGGGTATTCCTGGAAGGTAGTTGGGAAGGAAATTATATAGAGAGAGAAATGGAGATGAGTCCTTGCAAAGTTGTTGTTAAGATCATCACTATCTAATGTTTTGTTTTTATTTTATTTTTATGGATAACTGATGTTGTTCTTCTTTTCCCCTTTTAAGTGATTTAAGTTGTTGTATATTGTGTTACATTATACAATTTATTGTGTTTGGAGGAGCCCTTCAAGGAGTAGTACAAGCAACAGCATTTCATTTATTGTGTTTTTGGAAAATGCAAAGTTGTTGTTGAGATCATCACCTACTGTTCTGAGTTTATATTTATTCATTGTTAATATTTATGTAATGCATTTCATTTTATAGAGACAATGTATAAAAAAAGTCAAATCCAAGAACTTGGATTCCAACAACACTAATAAGGTTGTCCAATTGTGTAATCTGGATAAATAAAATGTTGAACAATATAATTATATAATAGAAGGTTCCAGTTTTTGTCTTTGTTGTTTACTATTTAAGGTAAGGCAGTGTTTGGAGGAGCCCTTCAAGGAGTAGGCACTTTTTTGATACCAAACAAGCAACGTTGGAGTACATGGAGCGATTGAATAGTCAAGTTCAAAAACTATTGAAAATTAATTCAAAATTCAAACAATCATAACTTTCAGTTCGGGTGGAGTTCACATGACCCATAAGATACCACGAAAAGCTTGAGACAAGTTCTACAATTTTTGCCAGCCTCATTTACAATATTATAGTTGTTTTCAAACTCGAAATTAAGTCGTTTCAACCTCATAACTAGTGATATGGCAACTTTTTGACTGATGATATAACAACTTAACTTTGTCTATTTTGAATGCAATTTTGTCAGGCGAATACATGGTAGGTTTGAGAGAAAAAATTGGATAAAATTATTTATGATAAAATTTGAACCCTAACATAACACTTTTGATAAACGTTTTAGGGGTTAACTCTTTTTCTTCAATAAAAACCTAAATTTCTCGATCAATTTTTATGTGTGAATAATTAAATAAATACATAATCCACTTAAAGTTTTTTAAAACTATATTTCGAGTCCTCTTTCTTTTGAATAAGAATCTTAATGTCCTCAACGATCTACATGCGTGAATAATTTGATAAATTGATCAATAATCTTCATGTTTATTATAATTATAAAGCCAAGAGTGCATAAGAGTGTGTGTATATATATGTGTGCGTGCGTAAGAGTGTGTATTATGTGTGTGATAAAAGTAGAGAAAAGAAAATTAAAGAGAGAAACTTAATTTAATGTTCGTTCTCAATTCCCCTTCAACAAATAATTCATGCAACAGAAGCGATAGATCTTCCGACTTCAATTGCCGACTACTCCTCCGAATATAACGTGGTTGGGAATGAGTGGAAAAGAAAGAGATGTTTATGGGAATTTTTTTAAGAGTTACAATGGGATCCAACCACGTTATATTCGTAAGAAGAGTCGACAATTAACGTCAGAAGACCTATCATTTTTCTTCATACAAATGTGTATATACATTATTCATCTTTGAACTTATCTGGTTCCTTAATTTAACTATAACTTAAATACGTTAATATTTCCACAAGAAAGAAAAAGTGTAATATCTATTAAAATTAAAGACATATCTGTCTTTCAAATTCGAGATACATACCATAAATTTTCGAGCCGTGTAGCATTGCTCCAAAACATACCAGATTTATATGTAAGAAATCTCAACGAGAAAAAACCACAAAATTAATAATCCATATTAAAGCAGTCTACTCGATTAAATCAAACTTGACATAGACTTATGATGAAACCACATTGCTAAACTCAAACACAACCAAGCCGAGTTGCTCTAGACCTCAAACTCACTCCCACCATCTTGCAAACGAGTTGCTAACCTAAAAAACAATTGCTTCGCAAACAGCTTACTCTTTGTAGTGATTTAGTAGATAAGTATTAACTGTCAAAAAAAAAAAGAAAAAGTAAACAAGTATCGTCCAGAAAGAAATCTTCCATAAGTATTTAATGTCTATCAAGATGAATTGACACAAAATGATGAAATGTATATCAAGATTGTCCAAACAATGGTTATACCATCATGCATAATTTTGTACCAATCCAGCTGTGTCACATTAGGGTACAAAATTTAATTAAGCTATGTTAGGGAGCACTGCATAAGCATAAAGCGTTTCAAAATTGAAATCAGAGAAATTTTATTGAAAATTTAATTTAAGTTTTCTTTAATTTCAATTACAAAGGAATTAGTGCTTCAAAATGCAACATTATTTTCAACCATCTTTGTCACAAAAACAAGGGGTTACCAAATGCAACATTATTTTCAACCATTCAAGCTTTATAAACTCTAGATTATGTTGGCTCGTGTGATTCATTAGGTTGCCTGAGGAAGGATTGTGATCCCCCAACTAATGGCTGTTTGACCCCAAATTAAATAGACTTGAAAACTCAATTTTGTATATGTGTGTGTGTACATATCTATATTGCAGTTACTATATATTATGTAACTTGAAGCTGCTCATAATAACTTATCTTGTCCAACTTTCTACCCACTAACTGCCAAATTTCTTACTAATTGTCATTTTGGCCTTGAAATTGCTCTAAAAAAAAAAAAAAATGAACTAGATTTAATTGTGTCAGTATTTAATATATATCAGGACACTGTAAGTCCAAAAAGTTGATGATGCACTAAAGGACTAGACTTAAATGGGTTGTACTTAATAAATAAAATTCAAGAACTCAAAAAATATAAAATAGTTTTGAGAGAATTATAAAAGACAATTCTATAAAAATGAATAAGGATCACCTCTTATGTTTGGATCTTCTGCTTACACAAAACAATACATTGATTACGCGAACAATATATCAGTTACGAATCAGCAATGTAAAGTTGTTACCTAAGCGATGTGAGTTAATTGTTACATAAGCGATGTAAAATTGTTGACTAAGTTATTGTATTGACAAGATATCCTAAGTTTTACTAATGAATAATGAATGTCATTGTAAAATCAATAAATGCGAAGAAAAAAAAATGGTCAACCAAAATTTGAAATTCAGAGCAGATTTCATTTAAATGTCTTGTCAAGATTTTCTAGAGCAATGCCCATTTTGCGGCTTTGAGCTGGAATCAACCTAAATAATCACCACATACAATCCGGTTGTACCAAAATCTAAAATTCCATCTGGAAAGTCTGGCAATTGAATTCTATTTTTTATCTATTCTTCTCTGGGAGAAATTAAGAAGATAAGAGAAAATGGCTGAGATTGCACTAACTTTTCTGTTCGACCACCTGACAATCTTCCTTCGAGAAGAGTCAAAACTCTTGGGAAGAATAAAGGAAGAAGCTGAGTGCATCAGAGATGAATTGGAACGCATGAGGGCGTTCTTGAGAGTAGCTGATGCAATGGAAGAGAGTGACCTTGAACTCCAAGTATGGGTTAAGCAAGTGCGTGAAGTTACCTACGACACTAAAGATGTACTGGACGAATTCATGCTCCGCCTTGCTCGTCATCATGGGGACAGATTCTATGGTGTCCTTCGTAAGCTTTCTCACTCTATTAAATACTTGAAAGCTCACCATCGAATTGTTGGGATTTATATGCCCTGGCATAGCAAATTCCTATCTGGATTATAGTGACATATGTTCCTAACATATCTGAAATATTTATGATTTATATAATTGGTGAATTCAATGTATTATGTTTCGATTCACTATGAAATTGATAGTGTCCCTGTGATTACAAGAAATATTTATATACATATGTAAGTGATGGCAATCAATGCATAATATATAAATATTAATTATAAATTGTTCATAGTGGGTAATTATGGATGAACTCATAATTAATTAAGACCTGAACTGGATCCGCGTTAGGTTGAGATATATTGCGAGAGCTGTCGTATGCAATTGCTCCCTATCATCGTCATGGCATTTGACTCTTAAGCATGAGAAAATTATAGACTCTTTTATTAATTAATAATTACTTTGATTTGATCGGTGGATTCTTCGGGATCCTTAGACCGACACTTTGGATAGTTATGTGATTAATAGTTAGAGGGTTATATTTTTAATATTTGCATCATTTCTACTTGTATTTATTTTGTATTGATTATGGTTGATCACAAAGTAAATTCGAAGGCCTTCGTGTGGTTTTAGACAAAATGATTTATTATATATTTATTTATTAAATTATTATTTTTGTCAAACAAATGTTTTATTGTGATCGAGCCAGAAATAATCAATAGTACCAAAATAAATATATTAATTAAGTAGTCGGATTGATGGCTTTATTTATCCGATAACTAATTATGCATAGAAGGGTCAAAGTGCAATATTGACTTAGATGTTATTTATTATTTAATTAGAATTCAATTAATTTCTTTTAGTGGAGTAGAAATTAATTTATGAATTAATTGAATTGGGTCTATGGACCGGGCCAATTATTAATTCATTGTAGCTAATAAAATAATAGGCCCAATGGATTCTCACTCATAGCCTAACTTGATATTGGAATCATATTAGATTTGAGACATGTAAATTATAGATTGAGAAGGATTCATTGTTTCCTTTTCTTTACCTTTATGTTGCCTATAAATATACATGGTTTATGTATATTTTGATGGTGATTTTTAGAAGAAGAAAAAAAGGAATAAATTTTCTCTCTTTAAAAAAATTAGGGTTAATGTTTTCATCTAATGGAGGCTCCCACAAGCCTATTTTTCCAAGGTCATTCATGGAGGCTTGAGTGACTCCTAAAGGCATAACAATTACCAAAAAGATGGAGATCCAAGGAGAAGACATCTTGCTAAGGGATCTACAATAAGTGAGAACATTCACTTTAGATGAAAGATTTAAAGGTTTACTCAGACCTTTGATATAAGTATTCAATCCATTAATTGAATGATTCATCATATTTTATTTTTACATAAAACTTGTCTCTATGTGATGAATCAAGATCTGTGAAAGAAAATCCCTCGAAAAGTTTTTAAAACTTGCACGTTTCCTAACAATGGTATCAGAGCATGGTTTGATTCATTATTAGAGATCATGATTTATGAAAACCATCATTCATGGATCTAAATTTATATATGCATATGTTTATATTATTATATGATCATGATGTATGTCTAATTGTGAATGAATGATGATGTATGTTTGGGCCATGGATGAAGTTTATAGGTTAATTGAATGTAATTTTATCTTTGGATGAATGTAATTAAGGCTTTGATTTAGCCGTTTGAAAGTTCAATGATGTAATTTAATTTTTTCCATTGTATTTCAAATTGTAA